TGCTAGCATCACTTCTACTGCTAATGCTAAAGCTAATGCTTCATTTACAGGTTTATAAACAATTGACCTGTCCGCTCTAAACAAGAGAGATCAACAACGACCTTCCAGTTAGCATGGTAGCTAGCTGCTAGCATCACTCCTACTGCTAATGCTAAAGCTAATGCTTCATTTACAGGTTTATAAACAATTGACCTGTCTGCTCTAAACAAGAGAGATCAACAACAACCTTCCAGTTAGCATGGTAGCTAGCTGCTAGCGTCACTCCTACTGCTAATGCTAAAGCTAATGCTTCATTTACAGGTTTATAAACAAATAACCTGTCTGCTCCAAACAAGAAAGATCAACATTGACCTTCCAGTTAGCATGGTAGCTAGCTGCTAGCATCACTCCTACTGCTAATGCTAAAGCTAATGCTTCATTTACAGGTTTATAAACAAATAAAATGTCTGCTCTAAACAAGATGGATCAACAACGACCTTTCAGTTAGCATGGTAGCTAGCTGCTAGCGTCACTCCTACTGCTAATGCTAAAGCTAATGCTTCATTCACAGGTTTATAAACAAATGAGATGTCTGCTCTAAACAAGATAGATCAACAACGACCTTCCAGTTAGCATACTGGCTAGCTGTTTAGCATCACTCCCACTGCTAATGCTAAAGCTAATGCTTCATTTACAGGTTTATAAACAAACAACCTGTCTGCTCTAAACAAGACATATCAACAATGACCTTCCAGTTAGCATGCTAGCTTGGTGCTAGCATCTCACCTACTGCTAATGCTAAAGCTAATGCTTCATTTACAGGTTTATAAACAAATAACCTGTCTGCTCTAAATGAGAGATCAACAACGACCTTCCAGTTAGCATGATAGCTAGCTGTTAGCATAACTCCCACTGCTAAAGCTAACGCTTCATTTACAGGTTTATAAACAAATAACCTGTCTGCTCTAAAAGAGAGAGATCAACAACGACCTTCCTGTTAGCATGCTAGCTAGCTGCTAGCATCACTCCTATAGCTAATGCTAAAGCTAATGCTTTATTTATAGGTTTATAAACAAATAACCTGTCTGCTCTAAACAAGACATATCAACAACGACCTTCCAGTTAGCTTGGTAGCTAGCTGCTAGCATCAATCCTACTGCTAATGCTAAAGCTAATGCTTCATTTACAGGTTTATAAAAACAACCTGTCTGCTCTAAACAAGAGAGATCAACAACGACCTTCCAGTTAGCATGCTAGCTTGGTGCTAGCATCTCACCTACTGCTAATGCTAAAGCTAATGCTTCATTTACAGGTTTATAAAAAAATAACCTGTCTGCTCCAAACAAGATATATCAACAACGACCTTCCGGTTAGCATGCTAGCTAGCTGCTAGCATCACACCCACTGCTAATGCTAAAGCTAATGCTTCATTTACAGGTTTATAAACAAATAACCTGTCTGCTCTAAACAAGAGAGATCAACAACGACCTTCCTGTTAGCATGCTAGCTAGCTGCTAGCATCACTCTTATTGCTAATGCTAAAGCTAATGCTTCATTTACAGGTTTATAAACAAATAACATGTCTGCTCTAAACAAGAGAGATCAACAACAACCTTCCAGTTAGCATGGTAGCTAGCTGCTAGCATCACTCCTACTCTAATACTAAAGCTAATGCTTCATTTACAGGTTTATAAACAAATAAACTGTCTGCTCTAAACAAGAGAGATCAACAACGACCTTCCAGTTGGCATGATAGCTAGCTGCTAGCATCACTCCTACTCTAATACTAAAGCTAATGCTTCATTTACAGGTTTATAAACAAATAACCTGTCTGCTCCAAACAAGACAGATCAACATTGACCTTCCAGTTAGTATGGTAGCTAGCTGCTAGCATCACTTCTACTGCTAATGCTAAAGCTAATGCTTCATTTACAGGTTTATAAACAAATAACCTGTCTGCTCCAAACAAGACAGATCAACATTGACCTTCCAGTTAGTATGGTAGCTAGCTGCTAGCATCACNACAAATAAAATGTCTGCTCTAAACAAGA